CATATTACAGTTCAGTATAAGTAGAATAACCTGCAGCCAGGGGCGGACTGACCATTTGGGTGCTTGGGCACTGACCGAGGGCCCAGGGTCAGTAAGGGGCCCCATGAGATGCCCCTGGTGGTACCTTTCATAGGCTTTTTTGGGTGTGGTTTGAGTGTGGGCGAGGACACAGGGGGCCCATGATCCCCTATTGCCTGGGAGCCCCATGAGTTATCAGTCCGCCCCTGCCTGCAGCTTTAAACCCATAAATGGTGGCAGAAGACCACGGGCCATTGGTTGAACCCCATTTACTATGGAAGTCACATGACCATACGCCACGTTATTTGGTTGTATGTTCTCTGCGGAAGGCGATTCGCGGGTTCAGATTGGCCAATCCCTCCTTGTGGCAGAGATAATGGAACCAATGGCCTAGCCAGCTGGTCTCGTGACTTCCTGTCATGGGGACAAGCAGCAGTTTCTCCATCTGAGGTGACCTCCACACGCCTCATTACTACACTTTAGGTTCTTATTTTATGATTTAATAGTCATTTCAACGTTTTTAATCAATATGTACGCAGAACCAGCCTAACAGAACAGAAAAACCCTATCATTTGTAATGACATACAGCGCTCAGCATAAATGAGTCCGCCCCTTTAGAAAAGTAAGATTGGAATCAATATCTGAATGAACACAAGAACGATCTCCACCATCGGGACAGATCGGAGTTCTATAGAACATTTGTTCGGCTCATGACAGGAAGGTTCGTAATAGAACTTCGATGACAAAATATTCAGTCTTGCTTCAATGAATTGATGCAAAAATGAACACGCCCCACAACAAGAACTCCTCCATCGAGTATTCTGTAGGACCTCCATGATTGGTGAGGACGGCACCGAGTCTTCTAGGCATGAAATGGACAAGTTGGTGACATATTGCGACATCGTTCTTTTTCCATTCTTCAAGAACGACCTCTTTTAGTGCCTGGATGCTGGATGGAGAGCGATGCTCAGCTTGTCTCTTCAGAATTCCCCCCATAGGTGTTGGATTGGGTTCAGATCAGGATACAGACTTGGCCCCCGAATCCCTGTCACCCGGTTTGCCTTCAGAAATGCAACAGTGGCCTTAGATGTGTGTTTTGGATCGTTGTCATGTTGGAAAAGTGCACGACGATCGAGGGCACTGAGTGATGGGAGCATCTTCTCTTCCAATATAGAGCAGTACATCTGTGAATTCATGACACCATCAATGAAATGCAGCTCCCCGACACCAGCAGCCCCACAGGACGACACTGCCACCACCATGTTTCACAGTAGGCGTCATGCATTTGTCTTTGTACTCCTCACCTTTGTGACGTCATACAGTTTTGAAGTCATCCGTTCCAAAAGCATTTATCTTGGTGTCATCACTCCAGAGTACAGAGTCTCAGTAGTCATCTTCTTTTTCAGCATGGGCCCTGGCAAATTATAGACAGGATTTTTTATGCATGGCCTTTAGGAGAGGCTTCCTTCGTGGACGACACGCATGCATGCCATTCCTCTGCAGTGTACGCCGTATTATGTCACGGGAAACAATCACCCCAATTGGCTTTCTACTTCTTTAGCTAACTGCAGTGAACTTGCATGGCGATTGTCTTCAACCCTTCCCATCAGAAGACGCTCCTGTCGAGGTGTTAACTTTGATGGACGGCCTGGACGTCTCTGTGAGATGGTTGCAGTTCCATCTTTGTTACATTTTTGTATCACTTTTGCTCCAGTATTCTGACTGATAAGTGAAGCTTTGCTGATCTCCCTGTAGCCGTCACCTTTCTTGTGGAAAGGAATGATTTTTTTTTCTAAGGCCTTGTGACATTTCTCTTCCATGTGGCGCCGTTGCTGACAGCATGAAATGGGCGGAGTTTTCTTTAAGTAACACCCTTTTATAATCACCTGTCTGCTGGACTCCTGTTTAATGAATAATTAGACTCACCTGGAGATGAATTCTTGTTAACTAGGATTTTGTTGCCTAAAATGTAGCTTTGCTCCTGAGACTTTCATTGGGGTGTGTTCATTTTTGCAACATGGTCTGGGATAAATTTGTTGGGAAAAATACTTTTTTTGTGTGCAAATGAACAAATCTTGTGTGCAATCAATGGCCGGCATTTGTGGGAGGAGCTTGTAGTATCGTGTCCCATAGAAAATGTGGATTCTGGAAGGAAAGGTTTTCTGACAGTACTGTTGTCGTGGACTCATGTATGCTGAGCACTGTAAGTACCTGGGACCAGCCATACTTGCTCCCTATACACAGTGCAGGAAATGTGTATTTGCTCCCCGGCTGATGGTGAATGTTCGCCCCTCACACAGAAATGATTGGTCTAACAATGGAATGTTCGCCCCTCACACAGAAATGATCGGTCTAACAATGGAATGTTCGCCCCTCACACAGAAATGATCGGTCTAACAATGGAATGTTCGCCCCTCACACAGAAATGATCGGTCTAACAATGGAATGTTCGGTGTAACACTGAGAGACAGAATACAACAACAAATTCAGCAGAAATGCGTCTAACAAATGATGACGGATCTGCATGTTCATGAGGGAAAGAAGGATTTGATCCCCTTCACAAAACATGACTTAGTACTTGGTGGCCAATCCCTTGTTGGCAATCACAGAGGTCAGACGTTTCCTGGAGTTGGCCCCCAGGTTCGCACACATCTCAGGAGGGATTTTTGTTTTCTTGGTGACTGTGGTCCCAGCTGCCTGGAGATCATTGACAAGATCCTCACGTGTAGTTCTGGGATGATTCCTCACTGTTCTCATGATCATTGACACTCCACGAGGTGAGGTCTTGCATGGTGCACCAGACCTAGGGAGACTGACACTTGTTTTATGTTTCTTCCATTTGTGAATGATTGCACCAACTGTTGTCACCTTCTCACCAAGCTGCTTGGCCATAGTTTGGTAGCCCAGTCCAGCCTTGTGTAGGTCTACCATCTTGTCCCTGACCTCCTTGGACAGCTCTTTGGTCTTTGCCATGGTGGAGAGTTTGGAATCTGATGGTTTGATGGCTCCTGTGGACAGGTGTCTTTTATACAGGTAACACAATGAGATTAGCAGCACTCCCTTTAAGAGACTGCTTCTAATCTCAGCTGTTACCTGTATGAGAGACACCTGGGAGCCAGAAATCCTGCTGAATGATAGGGAATCAAATCCTTCTTTCCCTCATGAACATGCAGATCCGTCATCATCCACGACCTCTTTGTTTCCCGCTCCCTCAACCTCCTAGTGATCACGGAAACCTGGATCCAGGCCACTGACTCTACCTCCCCTGCTGCACTCTCCTACGGAGGTCTCATCTGGTCCCACTCACCCAGACCCAACGGTCGTAAAGGTGGTGGGGTTGGTCTGCTCCTGTCACCACAGAGCACCTTCTGAGTCCTCCCAAACCCCCCCTCTCTATCCTTCTCCTCCTTCGAGGCCCACTGCCTCCGACTATTCTCCCCAACCCCCCTGAAGATTGCTGTGATATACCGGCCTCCTGGATCCATATCCCGCTTTCTTGATGACTTTTCCTCCTGGCTACCCTTCTTCCTCTCCTCTGAGCTACCCACCATCATCCTTGGGGATTTCAACATCCCTGTCAACCTCGACAACCCGGACACAGCCCGTCTCCTCCACTTAACCTCCTCTTTTGCACTTGCACAGAGCATACAATCCACCACCCACTCCGACGGGAATATCCTGGACCTTGTCTTCTCCAACCGCTGCGCTCCCCACAACCTCACTAACACCCCCTTCCCTCTCTCTGACCACAACCTGATCACCTTCTCTATCTCCTCGTCCTCCAACGCCTACCCCTCCAAATGTCACACTACTACCAGCCGTAACCTCCGCAACCTGAACCCTGCCCCCCTCCACTCTGCAGCTGATCAACTCCACGACAGCATCCTCCCCCTGTCCTGCCCCGACTTGGCTATGACTGCCTACAACAACGCGCTGTCAACAGCCCTTGACTCACTAGCGCCTTTAACCACACGCAACATCAGACCCCGACCGCTCCAGCCCTGGCAGACTGATCACACCAAAACCCTCAAACGACACAGTCGTGCCCTGGAGCGACTATGGCGCAAAACCAAATCCCAACAAGACTTCACCCGATACAAATCTGCCTTCCACACCTACACCTCCTCCCTCCATGCAGCCAAACAAGCCTACTTCCTGACCCTCATCAAGGCCTTCTCCTCCAATCCTCGCCGACCCTTCTCCACCTTCAACTCTCTACTCTCGCCACCCCCACCTCCACCCAGCAACTCACTCACCGCCCTTGAGATTGCCAATCACTTCAAAAACAAGATTGATGCAATTCATAAGGACATCGCCACAACTCACACGCCATCTCAACCCGTCCCCTCTCACTCAGCTACCCCCTCATCCCCCCTCCCCCTCGACATAACCCACAGGGACTTCGTCGCTGCTCAAACTCCCTCCAACCCCCTTCCCCCTCACACAGCTACCCCCTCATCACCCCTCTCCCTTGGCCTCACCACTGTTCAGACTTCCACCTCACCTAACATTCCTCACACTGAAGCCCCCTCAACACTCCACTCCTTCGACCTTACTACCATTGAGGAAGTCACAGGTCTTCTCTGAAGCCCGTCCTACCACCTTGTCCCCTCACAACTCCTACGACCTCCCTCCTCCTCCATCCTACGCTCCCTCACCCACATCTTTAATCTCCCCCTCTCCTCCGGCACTTTCCCCTCCCCTCTGAAGCATGCACACATCACCCCCATACTTAAAAAGCCCTCCCTGGACCCCACTGACCCGAACAACCTAAGACCCATCTCCCTGCTGCCATTCACATCCAAACTCTTCGAGCGCCTCGTCTACAATCACCTAAGCTCCAACCTCAACAACAACAGCCTCCTCGATCCCCTACAGTCCGACTTCCGTCCCCTACACTCTACCGAAACCGCCTTACTCTAACTCTCCAACGACCTTCTAACCGCCAAAGCCAATGGCCACTATTCAGTGCTCCTACTCCTTGACCTCTCCGTGGCCTTTGACACAGTCGACCACCCCCTCCTCCTCAAAAAACTACACTCCCTCAGCCTCAGAGACTCCGCCCTCTCCTGGCTCTCATCCTACCTGTCACAACGCTCTTTCAGCGTTACCTATAATGCTACCACCTCCCCCTCACTCCCCCTCTCTGTTGGGGTCCCTCAAGGCTCCGTCCTCGGGCCCCTTCTCTTCTCCATCTACACCTCCTCCCTTGGCCAACTCATACACTCTCACGGCTTCAACTACCACCTCTATGCCGACGACACACAAATCTATCTCTCAACCCCCCACCTCACCCCCTCGGTCTCCGCCCGAATAACACACCTACTGAGCGACATATCAGATTGGATGTCACTCCACTTCCTTAAACTGAACCTCTCCAAAACCGAGTTTCTTGTCTTCCCCCCAGCCCGGACCCCACCCCCCTTGACCTCCAACAACGCCACCATCAGTCCCACCCTGCAAGCCAGAGTACTTGGTTCATTCTTGACTCCAATTATTCCTTCCAGCCCCAAGTCCAATCTTTAACAAACTCATGCAGACTCCACCTCCGCAACATGCAGACTCCGCCTCCGCAACATGCAGACTCCGCCTCCGCAACATGCAGACTCCGCCTCCGCAACATGCAGACTCCACCTCCGCAACATCGCCAAAATCCGCACGTTCCTAACCCCAGAAACCACTAAACAGCTGATCCACTCCCTCATCATATCACGACTCGACTACTGCAACTCCCTCCTCACTTGCCTGCCTCGCCGCTGGCTATCCCCGCTTCAGTCCATCCTGAATACGGCTGCCAGACTCATCCACCTTACAAACCGTTCCGTTTCCGCCACCCCCCTCTGCCAATCCCTCCACTGGCCTCCACTCAGTGTCCTCCACCCCCCTCTGCCAATCCCTCTACTGGCCTCCACTCAGTGTCCTCCACCCCTCTCTGCCAATCCCTCCACTGGCCTCCACTCAGTGTCCTTCACCCCTCTCTGCCAATCCCTCCAATGGCCTCCACTCAGTGTCCTCCACCCCCCTCTGCCAAACCCTCCACTGACCTCCACCCCCCTCTGCCAATCCCTCCACTGACCTCCACTCAGTGTCCTCCACCCCCCTCTGCCAATCCCTCTACTGGCCTCCACTCAGTGTCCTCCACCCCTCTCTGCCAATCCCTCCACTGGCCTCCACTCAGTGTCCTTCACCCCTCTCTGCCAATCCCTCCAATGGCCTCCACTCAGTGTCCTCCACCCCCCTCTGCCAAACCCTCCACTGACCTCCACCCCCCTCTGCCAATCCCTCCACTGACCTCCACTCAGTATCCTCCACCCCCCTCTGCCAATCCCTCCACTGACCTCCACCCCCCTCTGCCGATCCCTCCACTGACCTCCACTCAGTATCCTCCACCCCCCTCTGCCAATCCCTCCACTGACCTCCACCCCCCTCTGCCAATCCCTCCACTGGCCTCCACCCCCCTCTGCCAATCCCTCCACTGGCTTCCGATTGCCCAACGGATAAAATTCAAAATCCTAACGCTGACGTACAAAGCCGTCCACCATACTGCCCCGAACTACATCACTGACCTAATATCCAAGTACCACCCAACACGCACACTCCGCTCCTCACAAGACCTCCTTCTCTCTAGTTCCCTAGTCTCCTCCTCCCATGCCCGCCTCCAGGACTTCTCCAGGGTGTCACCCATCCTCTGGAACTCCCTACCCCAACCCATCAGACTATCGCCTACTCTCCTCTCCTTTAGGAGCACCCTGAAAACCCATCTCTTCAGGGAAGCCTACCCCACCCCCTGCTAATTTGCCGACCTCCTCCACTCTTCCTACCACTCCATCCCCCACAGCTATCTCCTCCTGTGCCACCATCCCCTCCCTCCTAGATTGTAAGCTCCAAGGAGCAGGGCCCTCGATCCCCTCATGTATTGTCATTGTATTGTTATTGTTCTGTCACATGTTCTGTCCCCCTTTGTAATGTACAGAGCTGAGCGAACTATCGGCGCTTTATAAATACTGTATAATAATAATAATTTGTTAGACGCATTTCTGCTGAATTTGTTGTTGTATTCTGTCTCTCAGTGTTACAGCGAACATTCCATTGTTAGACCGATCATTTCTGTGTGAGGGGCGAACATTCCATTGTTAGACCGATCATTTCTGTGTGAGGGGCGAACATTCCATTGTTAGACCGATCATTTCTGTGTGAGGGGCGAACATTCCATTGTTAGACCGATCGTTTCTGTGTGAGGGGCGAACATTCCATTGTTAGACCGATCGTTTCTGTGTGAGGGGCGAACATTCAGCATCAGAGGGAGCAAATACACATTTCCTTCACTGTACTCAAAGTCCGCCCCTTGCTCTGCGGTACTATGCAATGGTTGTGCTTTACCGTTCCTTCTCAAAGAGTCAGCTGACCCAGAAAAAAAAACAATGCACTCCCTGTGTGGCTGGTAAGTTTTTTCAACAGCTGTTAAGCAGGGAGGCTAGACAAAGCTGATTCTAATGCAGAGCGCCCTCTAGTGGCTGATGTATAAATCTCTATATTATATGTAAAAATGGAAAGGCCACATGAGACATGGCAGTGCAAGGATTTGATGGGGGGGCAACTATTATCATTGGATGAGCTTACTAGAACATTGCTAGAAGGACACTCACCTTCCGTAGTCGGGCAGCACAGTGTGATGGTCATAGAGAAGAAGGTTCCGGAACTGCGTCATAATGGCGAACTTCCAGTTGTCCAGCACATTGGTGAGATTTGCACATCCCCGCATATTCACCTTCTCCGCTGTGGAGACAAGTGTTGGGTTAGAAAGGGTTAGTGTTGGGGTTACAGGGAGGATCAGTGTTGGGGTTACAAGGGGGGTTAGTGTTGGGGTTACAGGGAGGGTTAGTGTTGGGGTTACAGAGAGGGTCGGTGTTGGGGTTACAGGAAGGGTCAGTGTTGGGGTTACAGGGAGGATCAGTGTTGGGGTTACAGGGAGGGTTAGTGTTGGGGTTACAGGGAGGATCAGTGTTGGGGTTACAGGGAGGGTTAGTGTTGGGGTTACAGGGAGGATCAGTGTTGAGGTTACAGGATGGGGTCAGTGTTGGGGTTACAGGGAGGATCGGTGTTGGGGTTACAGGGAGGGTCGGTGTTGGGGTTACAGGGAGAGTCGGTGTTGGGGTCACAGGGAGGGTTAGTGTTGGGGTTACAGGGAGGATCAGTGTTGGGGTTACATGGAGGGTTAGTGTTGGGGTGACAGGGAGGGTCAGTGTTGGGGTTACAGGGAGGGTCAGTGTTGGGGTTACAGGGAGGATCAGTGTTGGGGTTACATGGAGGATCAGTGTTGGGGTTACAGGCGGGTCAGTGTTGGGGTGACAGGGAGGGTCGGTGTTGGGGTTACAGGGAGGGTCGGTGTTGGGGTTACAGGAGGATCGGTGTTGGGGTTACAGGGAGGATCGGTGTTGGGGATACAGGCAGGTCGGTGTTGGGGTGACAGGGAGGGTCGGTGTTGGGGTGACAGGGAGGGTCAGTGTTGGGGTTACAGGGAGGGTCAGTGTTGGGGTTACAGGATGGGGTCAGTGTTGGGGTTACAGGGGGGTTAGTGTTGGGGTTACAGGGAGGGTCAGTGTTGGGGTTACAGGGAGGGTCAGTGTTGGGGTTACAGGGAGGGTCAATGTTGGGGTTACAGGATGGGTCAGTGTTGGGGTTACAGGGAGGGTCAGTGTTGGGGTTACAGGATGGGTCAGTGTTGGGGTTACAGGATGGGTCGGTGTTGGGGTTACAGGGAGGGTCGGTGTTGGGGTTACAGGGAGGGTCGGTGTCGGGGTTACAGGGAGGGTCAGTGTCGGGGTTACAGGATAGGTCAGTGTTGGGGTTACAGGGAGGGTCAGTGTTGGGGTTACAGGGAGGGTCAGTGTTGGGGTCACAGGGAGGGTCAGTGTTGGGGTCACAGGGGGGTTAGTGTTGGGGTCGCAGGGAGGGTCAGTGTTGGGGTTACAGGGAGGGTCAGTGTTGGGGTTACAGGGAGGGTCAGTGTTGGGGTTACAGGGAGGGTCAGTGTTGGGGTCACAGGGGGGTTAGTGTTGGGGTCGCAGGGAGGGTCAGTGTTGGGGTTACAGGGAGGGTCAGTGTTGGGGTTACAGGGAGGGTCAGTGTTGGGGTTACAGGGAAGTTTTGGGGACATCGGGGTAGAAGCTCGGTGATGAATAGTACCAGTCCTGAGTAGAAGGCGAGTGATGCTCTCTCATTGGACAGATTTACAAGGTATCCTGTATGCACCCCACACCATTATACCCCCCCAAACCCCACCCCCCAGGTGGATCTCACCTTCTGAGCGATAATCCCACTCCAGGGGTTCCCTCTTCTGCTTCAAGGCGAAGCCGACGGCCAGAACCAGCAACAGACACAGCAGACTCCTCTCCATGGCTGCACCCAGCAGGCTGAAGGATGTAGATACTCTCCTGTCTTTGCTGCCCTGGACCCCCGCGCTGTAAGGAGGAGGGAGGGGTTAAAGTACCATTCCAAGAAAACCCGAATCCTGCCCTCAGCCCGGCTATGGCCGACATACGTGATGAACCGACATACGTGATGAACCGACATACGTGATGAACCGACATACGTGATGAACCGACATACGTGATGAACCGACATACTTGATGAACAGACATACTTGATGAACAGACATACGTGATGAACAGACATACGTGATGAACCGACATACGTGATGAACCGACATACGTGATGAACTGACATATGTGATGAACTGACATATGTGATGAACCGACATACGTGATGAACCGACATACGTGATGAACCGACATACATGATGAACCGACATACGTGATGAACTGACATATGTGATGAACCGACATACGTGATGAAACTGACATACGTGATGAACCGACATACGTGATGAACCGACATACGTGATGAACTGACATGTGATGAACAGACATACGTGATGAAGTGACATACGTGATGAACCGACATACATGATGAAGTGACAGACGTGATGAACCGACATACGTGATGAAGTGACATACGTGATGAACCGACATACATGATGAACTGACATACGTGATGAACCGACATACGTGATGAACCGACATACGTGATGAAGCGACATACGTGATGAAGTGACATACGTGATGAACAGACATATGTGATGAAGCAACATACTTGATGAAGTGACATACGTGATGAACAGACATATGTGATGAAGCAACATACGTGATGAAGTGACATACGTGTGCACTATAACATTCCTCTGCCGTGGAGAAGGATCAGCGGCTGGATAGTCAGCAGTGGCCTTGCAGCACCAGGCGCTGGGTTCAGACTGCAGCCGGCATTGTGATGGATTCGTGCAGATTTCCTGTATAATGTTTCTGCTGTTGAATGATTTAATATCAATCTAATTGTGATGGGGGGGGGGGGGGGGGGGGGGACTCTCGTGTATAGGGGTTCTGAACTCTGCAATGGGGAAATCTGTGGTGAAGAAGGGCCTCTAACAAATAGATGGGACTCTGACATGATAGGGGCTTCTGATCCAATGGGGGGGATCTCTGATGTGAAAGGGGGGGGGGGTTCTGATGTGACTGGAAAATCTGTGATGTGATGGGGGGTCTAACGTGATGGGGGGACTCTGAAGTGATTGGGGGACCGCTGTTGTGATGGATGACCTTTAATGTGAAGGGGGGTTCTGATGTGAAGGGGGGCTCTAATGTGATGAGGGACCACTAGTGTGATGGGGGGTCCTCTGATGTGATGGGGGGTCCTCTGATGTGATGGAGACCTCTAATGTGATAAGGGGGGACTATGATGTTATGGGGGGGAGACTTTGATGAGAAGGGAGGATTCTGATGTGATGGGGGGGGGGGGGAGACTCTGATGTGATGAGGGACCTCTGATGTGATGGAGACCTCTGATGAGAAGGGGAGACTCTGAGGAGAAGGGGTCCTCTGATGAGAAGGGAGGACTCTGATGAGAAGGGGGGACTCTGATGGGAAGGGGGGACTCTGATGAGAAGGGGTCCTCTGATGAGAAGGGAGGACTCTGATGGGAAGGGGGGACTCTGAGGAGAAGGGGGGACACTGATGAGAAGGGGGGACTCTGATGAGAAGAGGGGGGGACTCTGAGGAGAAGGGGGGACTCTGAGGAAAAGGGGGGACTCTGAGGAAAAGGGGGGGCTCCTTTTAGCGGTGTGTACAGATGGGATGGATGATGTCAGTGTAGCACAGGAAGTGGGATCTGTAGCCACATAAAAACACATCTGTGTTGGAATATTTGAAGCACGCAGAAGTATTTCCCGCAGCGTCCAGGACTGCGACGGACAGATTTTATTGGACAGATTCTGCTCCCTGTGAGGACATACGGAGGGAAGATGCGGCTCGGATGGATTCGTGGAAAGCGTTTGAAGGTTTTATTGCGATGAGATCATTGTTCAGGAAACACGATAATACGACTCATGGCGAGCGAAACGGCGGCAGAGACACGCAGGAGACGCACTTAATGCGTCCAATCA